TGCGGAGAAGCGCAGAAGTGTAAACATGTTGCCCATCGTAGGACGTCAATCAACACAATTCCGACCGGAGGTTCATATGCGGTCTCCATCGTGTGAATGTTCGAGATTGTTTGACATGATATTTGTGTAAATTGGTCCGGTACGGCTTTGTCTCGGAAAAGCAGTGAGTACTGTAACAACGAAATCCAGGACGCGTACTTAGATATGAGAAAGAGAAGTAACCTACTTAAATACCACTCCTGGAGGTAGCACGTGTCTATCTCATGATAGCGAGAGTGATTGAAATATTTCGGCGTTTCATTTGCGTCGGTAATCCGAGCTTGTGATTTCTCGGCGGTCAATTAACATCGATAATACGAAATGTAACCGAGATGATTGTGCAACTCCACGCCGATGATTGAAAATTATTGTACTTGTCGTCGGCACCATGAATCGTTGGTGGTCATTGTTCATTTCAGGTGCTGTGGAGTGGATTGGTGAAGATGTATCTGAAGTGGATTAAGTTCAAGAAAATGGAGCTTGAAATCCGATGCACGTTCCATGCCACGCCGCCGTGAGACACCCGCTGACCGCCTCCGGCATCACCTTCCCCCGATTCTAGCCAACCTCCACAGGACCTCCATCTCTTCTGTTGGTGATACCATCAACGCAACCATCATCACGATCACAGCAGTCTCAGGTCCAGTTCTGGAACTGCTAGTTGGTATGGCAAGTAAGCCTCTCGAGGACCGATCCCGTTATCTTCTCCTAATTCCGGCTATGATTTTCACCGGAGAGCTGTTTGATTGATCTTGTCTGATCTCGAAACCAGTTGTCCACATCGCGTTACTTATCCTATTACCGCGCGCCCTTGACCACCGATATTTAGTCAGCGCAGATTGAATTGGTCTAAGCTATTATTTTTTTGCTTTTTTTATAGTAATGTAGCAGCCTTAGTATAAAAAGCCTCGCTAGCTCAATCGGTAGAGCGTCAGACTCTTAATCTGAAGGTTGCGGGTTCGACCCCCGCGTGGGGCTTTCTTTTTGCATGTTCCTGGTTCATATCAGGTTTGCTTTTTTGTCGCTATGTATCAGCTGTTCTTGATTCTTGTTCAGCTCCGATTCTAATAATGGTACCAATTTCGAGATAAGTACTCTACAAACAGGGATTTACAGGGACTACTCGCAGAAAAGCTGACTTGTGCAGCAACCCATGGGTGCTTTTTTCTATCTCTATTTTTGAGTCTTCCACTGGCTGCCCCAGCTTCCCCCAGAAAAGGATGTCATATCTGCATGCGGCTGAACCGAACTAATTATTGGATGTCTGTTCGCTATCTAGGCTACTCTAGAGCCTAGCACTTTGCAGCGTGAGTTTTGCTGTGCTTTTTTAGGAGTTGGTTGAATCATTAGAATTATTGGCTGAGTAAACGAGAAGACAGTAGTACCGTTCAGCGATTGGATGTGATCAGAACGAAGCTCTCTCTAGTTCTATATGAATTGTTCATTGGCTACTGCCACGCAACACCTGTTTCAGAATCACAGGCTGCAAAATTCTGCGATACATAAAAGAGAGTAATGGTCTTCAGGCATCCTACTCCATAGTCAGTCGGCAGGTATTATTTCTATTTTCATACATAGTGGTATTTGTTCTTAGAGTGTCATTGAGCTACTTCAACTTATCGTTCAATTAGTGGTCCTTCGACCCAGAATGCACCGATTTTCCAACGATCTCGCTGTCACAACTTACGCATGATGATGCTCTTCACATTCTTCAAAATATTTCTTTCTCTACAACCAGCGATGCACCGACCCGTCGAAGCTGCTCCGGTTCTCTTCGGCGCTTATCCTACAACCGAATTAGCATCTCCATCTTACGTTCCAAACCCACGTGGCCGTGGCACCGTCGATCTTCTACTATCCTCGGTCATTACGCTGACGCTATGCGTATACACATCCATTCATCTTAACATCGCACCCGATAGCGCCAAAGCTATGCTCCAAGTCTCCATCCCTAGGTTTTGGGCTCGCACCAATAACAAGAGCACCCCTCCGAATAGCAAGGGAACAAAAGAATTTGGCATCAAAAGAGCTACAGTTTACAAGTTTTACTGGGTGATCATTGCACTCATTGCGCCGGAATTCGTTCTTTTTGCTGCTTTCGATCAATGGCAAAACGCCCGCGCGCTTTGTAAAGCTCTCAAGGATCTAGATCAACAGGAGGCAAATCTTCAACCCGATAGTCCTCCTCCGGCGGAAAGTTCCAGTACAAGTAGCAATTCTCACAGCGCTCCCCTGATAGAGAGCACCGAAGCCAATCCCCAAACAGATACGGCCCCCAGAATTAGTGTTCGAGACCTGTTACAACCAACGATCTCTGCGTCAACAGAGGCAAAAGTCTGGTCAGATATTACGATGACTTCGGCCTTCTTCATTGTGATGGGAGGATTTGCCTATCGTCGTGGAAAAGCCTTTCAGATTCCGGACGATAAACTCAAATTCCCATATTTGATGCTTACGCCTCAGGGATTCCTAACCCTTGCTAAAGAGAAGGTTATAACCCCTGGGATATTGGACCATAAAAGTATCGCGGATCGTAGCAAGGCAGATTCACTAGCGAAATTCTTGGTGTGTGTCCAGGCATTCTGGATGGTCTTAAATGTCATCGCACGAAAAGTTAGTGGGCTACCGAATACGTTGATCGAACTGAATGTGGTTGTGCATGTGGCTGTTACGGTTGTTGTTTATGCCATATGGTGGGACAAGCCTTTGGCGGTACAGAATCCGATTATCCTCAATCCCTTGCATGATTTGAACGATTCCCAGGTTCCGGATATAAGCCATATTAGCGCCGAAGAAAAAAACTTTAAGAGAGATAAAGAGTTATGGAATCTTCACGCCGAATTGTTACTACTCCATCCGGATGAAAGTCCATTGAAACACCTGGATTATGATGGAATTGACAATATTGCTACTCGCCGTTGGGCCTGTTACAACTCCAGCCACTACGTACAGCGCTGGCTAACTTTCGGCTTCCACTGGTCGGACGATTTCGTGAATTTTTCGGTGAAAAAGATATCCAATTCCAACATAAATGCCAGTATTCCGGGAGCCCCAGGCTTAAAATTTGAGATTCTGGTTCCGGAGGGGCTGAAAACAGATACTTGGTCCGAGAAGAAAAAAAGGACCGAAAGCGCCAATATGCAATCAATCGTGGGAGCTCCTCCGAACGGATTTTTGCTTTCACCAAGGAAATTATTAGTCTGGAAAACTGATTCGGACCAGAGGCTGTTTGCATCATATACTCACTCTGATGAGTATTTCATTACGGAAAGCGAAATCATCTTGCTAAAACAATTGAGCTCCTACTGCGACCAAATTCCAGACAGAAGTCCTGTTCCAGCTGGTTCAAAATCTTGCTCATACGCAAGACCTAATCCATCAAATCTTTATGTCGAGGAATTCATAATTTCAGATAAGGATAGTCGTATCGGATTCGCTGTTTTTGGTGCAATGTTTCTTAGTCTTATTTATGCAGCCTGTCATGCCAGCGCATGGAATTCTCACTTTCCAACTTTGACTGAAAGATCACTCTGGCGCGGATCGTGTATTGCGGTTGGTGCCGGAGTTCCCTTGGTGTTTTTAATGGCCACTGTCTTTAATAGCATAACTGACTATGTCGTGAAAGAAAATCGTCACAAATATTTTCACAATCGCACTTTATTCATAGCAAAATTGTTATACGTGTTCAACTATCTCATCTGCGTCATGCTTACGGCGTCTATGTCACTGCTATATGCTGCAGCAAGAACTTTCATTGTCCTGGAAACGTTTATTTCCGTGCGAAGTCTTCCGCTTGGTGCCTATGAAAGTGTTAATTGGGTTGAATACTTGCCTCACGGATAAGGTTAGTTTATTTTCTCCAGATATATCCCGGCAACAGTTTCCTAGTTTTTCGGTGTCTAATAACATGATTCTAGGTGTTGGGTTTTGGTATTCGACACGGCGAACATTTGCGGCGGACTGGGGTGGAGTGGCTTTCGTATGGTGGGCCGGTATGAAGGATTGAGTATTGAGGATTCGGTACAGCGGACTTTTTCGGCGGACTTTCGATCGCGGATTATGAGGGTAGATTGGTGGTAGGATGGTTAGTGAGACGGATTAAGCACGGATTATTGGGTATTGCGGATTGGGTATTGTGGGTGGGTACTTCGGATCGCACGGATATGGACAATTGTTATTGTGAATTGATGTTAAGGGTTGAAATCTGGGGGTTCATGGTGGATTGGGTATGGACGATTGACGTAGTGGACTGGACTGGGTGCTTCGGATTGGATTTTTCGGGTTGGTATTTTGGATTGGATATTGTGGGTTGGGCATTGTGGATTGGGTATATATTGTGGATCGGGTATATATTGTGGATCGGGTATTGTGGATTTATGTTGCGCGCGGGTTGTACGGCGGACTAGCATTGCGAGATGGATACCAATATCAACCTGGTGTCCGGGATGGCCAGGGACAATAATACCGGAATTAGAGGCTTTAGGAGGAACACGAATGTAACAGAGAGGTCATACCTAATCGGTGCAAGTCTATGACGTTATGTAGGTCTTGTGAGTTTTGACCGGAGCACACAGATCTATGAAAAACTGAATATTTCAGTGAAGACATTTTATTCTAGGTGTGGTATCTTGAAACATATCCCCCTATCATACCCGTCCAATCTCATCTGCATCACCCCAACCCGCGTCTTCAAGTTCCTCTCTCAATCACAAATGAATCACTGATTCTCACCCCATATGCATCACTGCATCATCAGTTCTCACACCGTCTTCTCACTCAGCTGCATAAACCCTCCTCCCGCATCACCGTCTGCACCACCAGTTTCTTACCCACCCCTCTCCCATCACCTCTGGCTATCCCACTTAATCCTATAATTTGCAAAAAAAGTATTACTTCCATTCATCCCATCCAAAAATCCTCACCCTCCCCCTCGATACAAAGCGAAACAAAAACACAAAACAAGGTCGTGCTGGGAATCGAACCCAGGTCTCGAGAAATCAATACCAGATCAAAATCTCACGTGCTAACCCCTACACTACACAACCAACTGGATGACACTAGCCAAAAAATAGTAGTTTATGTTCAGTATTCAAAACTCATCATGCTCTATGGTGTGAAGAGCTTGCCGTGACAGATGCTTGCTGATGGCGCGGAGAGTTTAGATGGGAAATCAATACAGGAGGCTTCCTAAGAGGTAGAGAGGAGGGAGGGAGCTGGGTGAGGAAGTCTGCGGTGTGGGGTGGAAGGTATAACACTTGTGGCTAATGGATTGGGGATTACGATTGCGGATGCAGGTTGGCGTGTAGCAGGATAAAAAGGCTTTAGAAACACCTTTCGGACAAGAAAACTGAACCCAGACAAGGCAGAAACAAAAACAAAGCATTGAATGCGAAGATAAAGCAGTCGTAGACCGCGAGTTGGCAAAAAGAAAGCCCCACGCGGGGGTCAAACCCGTAACCTTCAGATTAAGAGTCTGACGCTCTACCGATTGAGCTAGCGAGGCGCTTTCTTGAATTGGAAATTACAGTAAAGTTTAAAAAATAAATTTATTATTGATCTACAGGTTTGAAGGGTGCGTTGGGATTACCGGTGAAGTCGTCTGTGAGGCTCGGGTTGTCACTCGGATGCTATAGGATGTAACGGTAGGATAAACTGATGTTTCCGCTGCCCGCTTCATGTTGTGTAAAATAAAAACATCTCCCCCCCTGATTCTTGCAATACATAGATAGAACAAAGCTCTTACGTTATCTCCTGTGAGCCTCGTAATATCCTTCGTCAACGGGTGCGTCAAACACCGTACTCAGGCTCAGAAGTACGGGTTCTAGGAAGCCAATAATGTAGGCTGGTATGTCAAAGTTACCGCGAAGGCCGGCGAAACCAATCCTTTACCGGTCACGATTGGGTTGGAAAACGGTGTTTGGTAATTCTGGGGTTCGGCTTGATGAATTGGATGCAACATATTGAGGTGTAACCGTAAGATTATTTACGATACATGCGGTGTAATATATAAACCATTGGAATAAGCTACAAGACGCGGAATAGCATGCCGTGTAAATGCGCAGGCGCAGATAATATGGGTCTGGAAGACGCGGGATAGCATGCTGTGTAAATGCGCAGGCGCAGACAACACGGGTCTCGAGTATACCAATCTTATTGAGAAGGACATGTTTTATTGCTTTAAAATCCATCCTAACCCATAGCCAACCCGAGAGCCCCACAAAACGTCGAAATCACAAATCATGAGGTCAATTACTTCCCTCTTGATTCTCCTCACAGCAAGCACTGTATCCGCTGTTTCAAGTAAGTGTCCTCCCATCCGAGTCGTCCCTTAATTCCTGGTACACTTCTAACCTTCCAGTTCCCTCCGAACCTACCGAACCTGTATCCCTCGTTCAATACTGGTGCTACGGTTCTGAAGGTCCCTTCAGAACCTGTAAATTCTTCGGCACGGCTCCATTCTGCAAAGGCAAATGCCCTGGCGGGTGGTACGAGAAGTACAAAAGCAACTGCGGAGATCCACAGCAGAACTGCTGTATCTTTGGGAAGAAAGCATGTTGTTGTCAACAGATTTAGATTTTAGGCACGACGGGGAGATAAGAGAGGGTGGTGGGGGATAACGAGGTTAGGAAATGAGATGATGAGGGTAAAGAAAGATGGTTAATGTGTGCACAAATATAAAGAATTCCTAAATCAATTGATAAAATGAGAGATCTTATTGCCTTGAAGCGGAAATAAGAAGAAGAGAAACTATCTACAGCGACTGTAAAGGATAAAGACATCCATGACAGAAACCTGGTAAAGAAATCCACCGCGAAATCTTGTGCTATCTATTTCCTTTACCATCTCAACACCAATCATCATTCATACACTAATACCCCGTTTACTCGTTTGCAAACCGAACGCACTAAGACTTTGTGAGCCTGCTTGGCATGCGGGTCTACAGTATCGTCACACTAAAGATATTGAAACAGCGAGTGTATAAAACCACCGGAGCACAACCCACAGTCTTAAAACTCTCAATTAAATTCAATTCTAGCATATAAAGCATTCTATAAATAGTATAATTAAGTCTTTCCTTCTCTTTCTTACTCGCACTTCTTTCCTGCTGCTTTCCAGCAATTTTGCGTTTTGGTGGCGCACAATCCTCTACTTCAAACAACGAGAAACCAGACAGCGTGACCCTCTTGTATTTCTCGCAAAACTTTTGAACACCATCTCTTCGATACTTGACACAAGAGAAATGTAAACAAACTCTGATTCTCCTCAACCAAGCACAAAACCGGTAGCGACAGTGCCCTGTCTCTCCCAGGACTACTTCTTCCACTTCGTCGAAGACTCCGGAGTTGTATATGGCAAAGAGTATTGGTGACACCGGTGATCCTTGGAGGATGCCGGTTTGCGTCGGTTTCATAGCGCTTTCATGTCCGTTTATTATCAGGGATGCTTTTCTGTCCGTCATAAAATTGTTGGTCCATTGGATGATTTGTGGATCGGTGTCCAGTTCTCCCATTCTTTTTGTCACTTGCGTCCTTGAACAGATCGAGGGCTCCCTTTACATCCATCAGAAGGGCTCCGGCTATATTCTTCTCTGCCCACGCTTTGTGGACACTGTTCGTCAAGCAAGATGCAGCGTCCACTACCGAGTGTCGTTTCCTGCAGCCGAATTGGCCCGTGTGTAATTTTGGTTCAACCGTCGTTGATAGGAGTTCGGTTACAACTTTCTCGACTACCTTACAAACACAGTCTAATAGCGAGATGACTCTGTACGCTTTTGGTTTGGAGTAATCCGGTTTGTTGGCCTTGTGGAGGACGATGCCTTTTACGATTTTCCACGCTTTTGGGTGGGTCCCTGTGCGGATGTATTGTGTCGTGATATCGATAATGCGTTGCTTGTCCCATGCCCATAAAAAACTGATGATTCGGAAGTTGAGGAGGTCAAGACCTGGGGTTTTCTTTTCTGTGATTGTTGATGTACTGCGCGGTGTATCATAGTTTCTGTTATCTGGGTATGTGCTCGTCCAACTGTTGTAAGGTTGTAGTCTGAGTGTCGCAAGTTTTGAAACTGGAGCATATACTTCGTCATAGTCCACTCCTTCTACCTGAGTGAAACCACGGCATACCAGCCGGGCTTTGTATTTCCGACTGCCATCTGCATTTGTTTTGATCTTGGAAACCCACTTAGATGAAATATATGCTGGTAAAGGTGTTGAAGGAGAGAATGAGGTTATTAAAGGGGAAAAGGGGTTAAAAGGGTCTTCGAAGTTGTAACATTGAGAGTGGTGTGCTCCTCTAGGAAATACTATGGGTGCTCAAAGATGTAGATGGAGGACAAGAGCTCGCAGTACCATGAGGATGTATTACCCAGTGTCTTATCAAAGAAACTAGATGAATAGGTCAGTAAACTATGAATATGAGATGCGAATGGAGGTACCTACAACAAAGAGAAGACTACTCTGGCTATTCGAGGATTTCGAGGAACTCCTCTAACGATCATCCTAGATTCTCGGATTAGGGAAGGGGGGGGGTAAAGAAAGAGTGAAAGTAGAGGAGTGTAGAGAAACAGAAGATGGCCGAAGCCGTGAAAAGTGGGGGAAAATGGAGAAATTCACGAAGTGAAGAAGCGCCAGTTTGATTGTTCGAGGTCGGTTTGATAGGAGAAACTAGATGATAAATCAGCATCTCGATGCACCACCATCTATACAAAGATGTTTCATACAGCAAGAGAGAAGCCGTGTCGCGAATCTCAACATGTTTGTCACGCCAAAGACCAAAGCTAGCGTAAAATTACTAAGAAAGCAGCTCAGCAGGCGGAAACAATGGCCATGTTTGGCTCTTAAGTTGTGTTTATGAGATGAAACGATGGGTAGGGGTGAAAATAGCTATGCAGAAGACACTGCTCTAGGCACCGTGGTGGTGATTGAATTCATGGTTGAATAGTTCATTTGGGGGTTGGAGATAGAGGATAGAGGATTGAATGGAGCTTCGAAGAAAGGAAGAGCAGCAAACAGCGGCCCCCCGGGCACGATGCAGTTAGCGGTCAAAATATCTGCTTGCGTCCTCCATCCTCTATCTCCCACTCGATTGCTTGCAGAATTCTTGCTCTCGGCCAAATATTCTCGTCCAGAAAGCTTCATCCTCCATCTGTCCCTTCTTCGCTCGCACTGTACACGCCGCGACCCAAATTCTCACCTCACTTCTCAATGTCCTCTCTCTCGACTTCCGAAAGCATACGATTGTTTGCAGATACTGCTCGGCCATTTACACGCGCTCACTATTCTGCACGTCCTAGTCTCCTTCCCTCGTCTCTGTAAGGTATCCAACCACACAACTGCACATCTCTAAACGGTCAACCCAACCCAAATACCCCTCCTCGTCACAAATAACTATATACCTACCTAGTCACAAGCGCTCACTCCGTTTAGTCCCTTTAGTTCTTTTGAAACCCCTCAAGACGGCTTCAGCCTTGCACTTCGCATCTGAGCTCCTGTTTCACAACCCCTTGGTGAGCCCTTCGGTGCACCAATACCGCTCGCCAATAGAAACCGCCTTCAACGCCACATTCCGGTTACAGCAGTAGGTAGTTTGAGTAGGTAAGCCACGCGGCGCCACACCCCTTAGTTGCTAATTGTGTAGCGCTGCTCTGCGGTCTTCAGTTAACACGTTTTCCAGTATCTCGTTCTCCTGGTGCAGCGCTATACCTTTAGGTATTTGAATTGTTTCTATGTATCTAGTGAGGATTCAATGTTCGGACACGCAGCGCCACGTAACGAGCGCTACACATCGCCTTCAATCCTCCTGAGTTTTTTCGGAATTTGTTAACAGAAATATACCCTTCTTGCAAACGGATACATTACTAGATAGTAAAGTACGGCTCCTCTGGTTTCTAGTTACGCCGCACTTTTTTAAATCGACTTTCACTTTCAAGGCTCGGCCACGGCGCTACACATCTCCGTCCTTATTCAAGAATCAAAATTACCCGTGCTCAGCATCCGTACCTTAATCCCCGAACCCCCGGCACCCGGCGCCCCTGGATCCGACTCAACTC